ATAATCGGAAAATGGTTCTGTGTTGATTTTTGATCCTCATTGATATTTAAATTAATGAATTGGGCTTGACATCATCTATATTATTACCTGCAATATTGCACCACATCGTTCTAGTGCTGTTACATCCAGCCCAGTTGTTGCAGATGTTTTATTAGCATTAGAAAAGAAACGACGGGCAGTATTCCTATAATTCGATGATCCAGACCCTCCCGGCTTTGGCTTGGTTCTTTCGAATCTTCATGTCTTCACCATCTGTTTCTCTTATCTGTCTCTTTTTAATATCAAGAAGATCATAAAGACGCTCTTTGTTCACTAAGACAATCTTATTGGAGGTATAGTCCAGAAGCTTTTGAAGATTTACTTCGGAATTTTTTCATCAACCAGGAATCTCTTTTTAGGCAATGACAATGTTGTTGTAAGGCGGATAAAGGTTCACATTTGTGATTTTTTCAAGTATTGCGACATGGTAAGTTGGCATCAATGATCCGTGCTAGATCTTTCAGATCAGAATATTGAACGGTTTGCTTCTCCTGGCAGTTCCTCCATGAAACAATCATTTTAGATGCTCGAGTAGGAGTTGGCATTTTTGCTTCCTTTACCACTTTTGCCGTAGTTACTGATCCACTTTCACGTAGCTTCATATGCGTAGCGTAAATAAACTTGCTAACGGAATGACCTCGTCTTAGGTTAGCAGTCTTTCGGCGCTTTAGAGCATCAGAATCATCCCGAAAACAAATCGGTGTTCTTCTTCCTGAAGGAAGACTAGAGAGTAGGAGACTGGGGAGTTTGAAGGAATTGCTCAATATGTATCTTGAAAATGGCACGTGCCAAACGTGTATGGTACGGAAGCCACGCGTGGAGCAATCTTTAACATTTTTTTTCAATCACCGATAAACAGCACCCGTTCGGAATAGTAACCATCAATCAACGTTTCGGCTGCTACCTATAGCCGCCAGCCTTCTCAAATAGGCCTAAGCTTAGTATCCACTGTTATGTGTTAGAATATGTTTTATTGCTTTAAAGTAGAGCTTCCCGGGATCGTTACGAATCCCGGGAAATTAATTTAAAAATCCCGGGATCACGTGTACCCCGGGATTTTTTAATTTGAGACTCTTTTACCACTTTAAATCTTTCTTGGAATATCTGTAGCAGAATTTGAATCCAGAACTTTCACATCTTATGAAATATATCTCTTCCCTTCGTTTGCCATTCATTTTGATTTTTCGAAAGAATTGCACACATACATCACTTTTTGTATATGATCGTTGTACAAGAAGCACTCGTGAAAAATAGGATCTAGCAGTGAAACAAACCGTGAACATTTTGATTCAATCAGGTTGAGTGTCGTGAGATGTCCATCATTCATAGTTGATCGAAAACCATTGAAATGCATTGTTAAGATGGTTTTTTTTTTTCCTTTGGTTTGTTTTTTCCGTCGATCTTGTTTTCCGTGCTGAGCACCAATGCTACCGACGTGCCAGGAAGGCAGCTCCCACACCTGGTTAAGATGGTTGAAAGTACGTAGTACTAGTCTCAACTGATGAAAAGACTCAGTATTTGCAGTTTTTAGAGTCCTTCCTTAGATTAGCGAGCGGAAGCTTGTAAAATGCTTACTACTTCTGGACGAACTTCTATATGTCTCCGACTTCTATCTTGGCTTCCATAGCTCTGAAAGGTATACATTACTAGACTGGCCCACATTTATATGGGGGAAATTTTTTAACATTTGTTTCAACGGGCCAACCCCTAGATTTGTGCCAATAGGTGAGAAAACCACCATCTGAAAATTTCAGCTCATTCGGATGCAACACGAGCTGGCGCTTTTGATTTAAAATTTATATGGGGATATTGGTTGAAATGTATGGAGAAATAACATTTCTTCACTCTTTCGTGCATAGCAGCATTTGGTCCAGCAAATTCTATTAAGCTCAGAATTTCAGCACACGTAGCTTAAACTATAAGAAACAACTTTCCTGAAGACAGTATCATGATTCAACGGCGCCGGTGGTGTAGTGGTAAGCGTGATTACCTCTCACCCCAGCAGGCCTGGGTTCAATCCCAGTCGGCGCCGCCGGGATGTTCTGAGGCATAACATCTCTGATCACGCCTTCCTTCGGAAGGGAAGTAAAGCCGTTGGTCCCCGGTTCATGAGTTGATGGGTCGATAGGTAGGGTCCAGGTGTGGGAGCTGCCTTCGTGGCGTCGGTAGCATTGGTGCTCAGCACGGAAAACAAGATCGACGGAAAACAAATCAAGGAAAAAAAAAGTATTATGATTCAAGTTAGTATTATCGATATATTCATTCTTGAATTAATATGTGCATTTTGTTCGTATATTGCGACAAAAAACAGGCAGATTATAAAACGTATCAACTAGATTACAACTAAAAAAATAAAAGTTTATATTTTCAACAGGCCAACATCCTGACTCGTGTCAGTAGGTGAGATAACCACACTCTGAATGTTTCAGCTCTTTTTGACGTTACACGGACTGGCGCTTTTGGTTTAGTGTTCATATAGGAGATTTGGTTGAAATTTTCATACACAAAATGCTCATATACATTCAAAAGCGCATATCTGAAAAAATAACTGGATTAGTGATGCAATCTTCAGCAAGGTTGTTACTCATTGTTTGAACTACAAGTTTTGAAAATCTGAATCAAATTGAGAATAAGTAAACGTTTTTTATGATCGATAGAGTGTAGGAGAGTCATTTTTCCATGTATTTTAACCAGATTCCCCATACAAAATTCAAACTAAAAGTGCCAGCTAATCTTAAAACCAAATGTGCTGAAACTTTCCGATAATGGTTTTCTCACCCTAAGGCACAAATCTTGGGGTTGGCACGTGGAAAATTAGAACTTTTATTTTTGTGGGCCAGTCTAATGCATTACCTTTACCCTTTGGTATGTAATCTATGTAATCCTAAAGCACGGCAAAATTTTCTTACAAATACATTCATGAGAGAAATTATCCACCATAATCATCATGATCTGCACGGACTATTGTGAAATTTGGCTGACAAACATAATATCACGTCCCATTAGGGAACTTCTTAGATGTCAAGAGACATTTATTTGATTTCAGAGAACTTCATAGAAGTTCGTGGAACTTCGTAGAAGTTCAGGGACCATCATCGATTTTCAGGATACTTCGTAGAATGTTAAACAACTTCGTGGACGATGATTACGGAACATCGCATGAATTATTTAAAATTCATTCAAGTTCAGTAAGCTGGGCAAACAGTTAGTTAGTATGGAAAAATCTTTGAAGTACTGAGAACTTCGAAGAAGTTGACGAAAAATCCCAGTATTTAAAGGATATACAGCTGGTCGGAGAACTCTGGATATTTTTCAAGACTTCAGGTCGATCAATTATTATTCTTAAGATTTTCAACTGTTCGTAAAATTCAAATAACGTTTCTAGATAGTCTCTCAAGATTACCGGTTGGTCAGATATTAGTAAATTCAGATTGATCAGAAAATCTGAAGTTCTTAAACTGGTCAAACATTCAATTGGCTCGCTCAAGATGGCAGATCGGTTAGGCAGTACTTAAAAGATCTCCAGCTGATCGAAGATTTAAATAAAGTCCTCTGGATATTTTCAAAGGCTTCAGGTTGATCAAGTATTATTGTGAAGATATTCTCCCAAAACTGAACGTTGATCAGGAAGTATTCAAAAGATCTCCTGCTAATCGAATATTTCCGTAAAGTCCTGTGAATATTCAATTAGATCAAGTTTTATTCTGAAATATCCGATTTTGGCTACATTATTCATATTCAACATATACAGGAAGCTTAAAATATGAAATCAAAACTTCATTTATTTAACAAAAATCATCATATGCCAGCTTACAATTTAAAAAAATCCATTCCAGACTTCGAATTCGAACTTCAGCTTCCGCATGTCTTGAAACAACTTCACGTACCATGAAATGTCTTCAAAATGTCTGCATGAAAAAAAATACCTTCACAGGATTTCAAATGTCTTTAAAATGAAGATATGTCGTTAAATCTGGTGTCCCTAGTATTGAAAAAAAAACCCCCTTTTTTAATCATTCTTCTAAAGAGATGAACATACATTTCAGAACATCGTTAAAAGAAATTAGAAACATACGAATATTGAAACAATTTACTATCTTTATTGACTTCCCGGGATACCGGGATATCCCGGGATTTCCCGGGATATCAAATAAATATTTCCCGAATCCCGGGATGGTGGAAACCACCGGGAAATGGAAGCTCTACTTTAAAGTAAGCACCACCTTCAAATAGCCTGGGAGGTGTAATTGAAACTAACCGACGAATGTGAACGACAGTGCCCAAACCCATTTGCATATAGAAAGCCCTTAGCTATTAAGCTAAGAAGTTCCAAATCTTAAAAAAAATGCAAAAGGATTGAAATATAATTTTAAATTTTGGGTAAATTCTCGCAAGATTTGAATGGGGTGTCACAAAAGTAAAAGTATTCATATGTAGGGTATTTCATTGCACTGTAGGCTACAGAATTGAAATCAAAATGTAAACCTTGTTCTAAAATATCGATACTGAACGCCCTGAAACGCATCGCACATCAGAAGTTTTAATCTGTATCTATCGATAAAGGCATCCAGTTTATATTGTCAGACTCCTAAACCGACAAGAGACAGCATAAAGCTCCTCAAAGCAAAATGTTGCACTCATTCTCAATCAACTACATCACCTAAAAGCTCACCTTGAGTTCCACACAAACATCAGCCCAAAACGGTACCGGCATCCACCTCCAACTGTAAACAGAGAGCCGCCAAAACATAAACATTACACCACTCACTCTCACCCGGCACGCATGCTTCCACGATTCGTTCGGAGCTTTTATGCTTCAAGTTCAACTCGCAAGAGAATGCTCACCAACCAGCCGAACTCCCTCGGAGAGCATAAACCGAACACACCATCGCCGACGTCCACAGCGCGAGCGAGCGTGCAAACGCACCCGGTGTCTTTAGTTGCTCTTCATCTCTCTTCGGAGTTACGTCGGGCGTTTGAACGATTCGAACGAGTGGGGCTGCAACCCCGTATATTCGCACGATCCTACTTCCATCCCTTGGACATCCGGACGGTTTCGGGCGCGGGCGCGTGTGTTATCCAAGGGTTCGTCAGTACTTTAGGTGTCCCTACGTAGATCATCCCAGTTCGGAAGGTACGAGGTTCTCGAACAGTGATAATTAGTGTGTTGTTCTTTCTGGAAAACTGGGCCACGTTGAGCCGCATACGCAGATCGGTGCTGAAGAAGCAGAAGACACACCGGTATTGTTTTTCGATTTCTGTTGCGGATCGAGTTCAGTAGTGCTGTTCCCATAATTTGAGGAAAAGATTGGTGGAAACGCAACCACTGTTGAGAAAATTTGTGTGTGCGAGGAAAGGCAAGCAAAGTGGGAAATTATCGGTTCATTTATCGTGATTATAAACGGTGTGCCGTGTGCGGGGCGCGATTTGATCGAAGAATCGTTTGCCGCGAGGTGTACGGTGTTGTTTATCGCGCGCGGTGGCGAATAAAGGCCACCACCAGCACCGATCCGGACCCGTTGCGGGTTATTACTTTTCTCGCGTTTGTGTGCCCGTTCTTCTCCCTCCGTTTGTTTGAACAACAACAAGCAGCGAGTCCCGGGTGCAGTCAATTTATGCTCTTAGCCGATAAAAATCGCCAACTGCAGAGGTGCCGGTTAACTGCTTATGATTCCCAGGAAATCTACGCGGTCGATTAGAGACTGACTACTCTGCCCAATGGTCATCATCAGTTCCATCGTGACTGGCTGTGCTCTGATTGAAGAATGTTGATAATAACGGTGGCAGAATAGAGTGGGAGGTCGAGAGTTCGTGGAAATCTGAACCTCGGCGATTTCGGGAGGTCCAGCCAAAGTAAAGTGGCGGTGCGACGAAGATGATGATTTAGTGTGTTTACGTGATTGTTTCGTTTGCTCGCAGGAAGAAAGTGATTAGAGGGCCAAAAGTGAAACGAAGAAGAGTTGTGCAAACACACGAAAGAAGGCTCAAAGTTTCCGTGTCAACAACGACGAAAGGCAGAGCTATATGTGTAGCTAGTAGTAAGTGTGTGCCCAGAAAGGATTAACGAGCGTCAAAAGTCGACGCCGGAGTGTGATTTCCTTGTGATTCCCAGCAGGGTGTATGTGAAAAAGGAGGAAGCAAAACAGAAAAGGATAACCTCGTCATCCCTTGAAGGAGGTTGCTTTCTGCTTTTTGTGAGTGTATGTTTTTAAAAAGAGAAACGAGTCAGTGGGGAAGACAACGGCAGCAACTACTTTGACGGTGAACAAACATTTTAATTGAATGTCATCAGAAGGATAAAAAGACGAAAGTCGAAAGACGGAGCAGCACGCTTGCCAAAGGACCGCATGCAAGGAGATACACAAAAAAAACGAACGGTGTCATCCTGTGTCGTCTGCTTTGGAAAGAACGGTCGTTTGAGGAGCTCTTTGGCAGAGATAAAAAGTAAGTTTTTCGGTGCATTCTGCAAGATTGTTTGGCAGTGATTAACATTGTTTGGATAGTGAAACGTAGATGGTAGTAATGGGATTTTATTGGGAAAAAATAAATTAGGTAGCTTCAAGAATGGTTTACACGGTAGGATCATTTTTCTGAAGACTTGTTATTAGGGTTTTAAAGTGAATGATAATGTCAATTATCATAAATATTTTTTTATATAGTTTGATACATACGATACCGGAAATCTACAATTTCAGTTTTTGAAACATTCTACTTGATGCTTAAAAAGAGGTGTATGTTTACATAAAAATGATATGAACAGAAATTTTCCATTCCTTACATACGTTACCAATCAGGCCTTGTTGTTCTCTGCTGTCCGAAGAAGTCGTCTCCACTCTATTCGATCCATGGCTATACTTCGCCAGCCTCGTAGTCTGCTGAGGGTCCGCAGGATGCCTTCTACTTGGTCGATCCACCTTTCCCACTGCGCGCCTCTTCTTCTTGTTCGTGTTGGGTCGCTTTCGAGAACCATTTTCACTGGGTCGTCGTGCGGCATTCTTACGACGTGCCCAGCTTACCTTAGTCGCCCAATTTTTGCAATATAAACGATAGATGGTTCTCCCAGCAGTTGGTGCAATTCGTTTTTTTCAACTTTTTATTTGTTCCAAATTTAAAATAATTTACATTTTATGTTAACCTATGTGCTCCAGTTACTACAGTAACTTACCAGCCTTAGTTGTTATGATATATATCTAAGTGTTTTTACATTGTTCCTGTCTTGGCAATTCAGTATTTTAAACAGGTTTTTTTTTTAAACCTCCCTATCAGTATAACAATTGATATCTTAAAACTAAAAACTAAAACTAAATCTTATCTAAGTATAAACAAAAATTATTGAGATTGCAACGATTTTTGCCTGAAATTATTAATTATTTTGTCGGACATTTGTTCTATAGTCTCAACATTCGAAATTCTATGTACCTCAGTAGTACTGTACCAGGGAGGCAACTTTAAAATCATCTTCAGAACTTTGTTCTGAATCCTTTGAAGTACTTTTATTCCTGGTAGTGCAACAACAAGACCATATTGGCACAGCGTAGAGCATGGCCGGTCTAAAAACTTGTTTAAATATTAGAAGTTTATTCGTCTGGCAAAGTTTGGACTTCCTGTTTATATGAGGGTACAAACATTTGATATATTTGATAAATTTGATACATTTGGCTTGAATGCCCTCAATGTGATCTTTAAAAGTAAATTTTTGGTCAATTATTGATCCAAGATATTTCACTTGGTTTGACCAGGAAATTGGAACTCCGTTCATAGTGACTATGTAACTACTACTAGGTTTCAAAAAGGAAGCTCTAGGCTTATGTGGAAATATTATAAGTTGAGTTTTTGAAGCGTTGGGAGAAATCTTCAATTTTTGTAAATAAGAAGAAAACATATCTAAACAGTTCAGTTTCGAATGCCTTTGGATTCGGTTGTGTTTTAAGTTTGTTCTCTGTTTTGTGTGTGCATTCGCATTGATTGTTTTCGGTTGCATTTGCCGGATTAGCGCTGGTACTCTGCCTCTTGGACGGTTATACGTGTGTGATTGGTGGTTTTCCCGCTTTCCGAGAAGTTTTAGTTTAGTTTTTTTTTTTCTCCCGCACCAGAAATTTGTGGCATCGCGAGTGATAATTTTAATTTTAGTTTATTTACGCGGTGATAATGGTTTACTCGCAACTATTTTTGAAAAAAAAAATTAAGTTTGTTCGATCGAAAGTGTACCAAAAGTGCTCCTAAATAGACCTGTGTGCCGCCGCGCCACGCCGCCGCCACCGAAGATTTTCATACGCCGCCGCCGCCGATGAAAATAAGCCGGCGCGCCGCCGAAGTAAAATCTTCCACGCCACCGAATAAATTGATGTCACGCCGATGAAAAATTCGTAGCACCTTTTGTAGTGCAGCGATTATCATTTAGTTTTTTGACGTTTGTTTGCACTTTCTCGATCGAGCACACAATAATGAATCATTCAGGTCGGATTTACATAAAGATGAATAAGTGAATATAGGGTGTCCCAGAATGTCTAAGCACGACTTTCGAACACCCCTGCTTGTTTCAGATGCCGTTTAAACAACTGAGTATCACGCTGAATCATTGTTTACATTTCGACCAACAGTTTCGTGTATCGCAAGTTGCAGTTCTTTACATTTCCGTGACAATGCGAAGCATTTCTCTGGAAAAGCGCAAACAGATCGTGCACGAATGGTGAACTATACCCATTTTCTTTTAAATATCATTATTAAGGAGACTTTCAGCCCAATCTCCAACATTTCTCTGAGTAAATTAGTGAAATTGGAAGGTGTAAGCATCGGAGCCGTTCGAAACGCGATTCGGAAGTATGGTGATGAAGCAACTTTCCAGGACAAGCAAAAACCTGGAGGTAAACCGAACCCTGCTGACCAAAATCTGAACCGGAAAATCGTGCAAGTTTTCACTCGCAAGAAAAGGGCTTCGGTTCGAGACGTGGCTTGAAAAGTGGGATCCTTGAAAAGTAACGTCCAGCGGGTCAAGGCAAGAATGGATCTAAAGACGTTTAAGAAGCAGAAGAAGCCAAAGTGAAGGTAACAAGCCCCATCCGTTAAACCGAGGGCTCGGAAGCAGGGTGGCCAGATTGTTTTTTTCATTATCGGTAGCTTCTCAAAACTTTTATTGGTAGTTATCGGTAGGCCGTCTGAAGAAGGCTTTCCCGATAATTGAAACCTTTGTGAGCGGAGGGGGGGGGGGGGGGTTAACTGTCTTTCAGTTCTTCTGCTTTAAACGCGTCGAAATCAATATGAATATTTTTCAAGATTACTAAAAATCTGTGATTCTCGGTAGGAAAAGTGAAAAATCGGTAGTTTTTAACCTTTTGCCTGTGAATCGGTAGTCATATCGAAAATCGATAGGACTACCGATAAATCGGTAGGTCCGGCCACCCTGCTCCGAAGTTATAGTGCTTTTTGACGTTTAATTGGCGCACACTACTACACAATTTAAATCGAACGAGTACGAGCAAGAGGGAAACAGATTAGTGGGAAAACAAACCGTTCATTCATCCATGTATGCTAGATAGAGAAAGACTATTAAACGTCAAAAAGGTTTATACGACCAGTTGCTGTGCGGAAAATCGGTGTTCGATATTATGGACGTTGAATCATATGCTAAATTTGATTACAAAACTCTTCCTAGTGATCAGTACTACACTGTTCGTGATGGCCGAAGTGTTGACGACGCGGATAAGTCGATTTTTTCCGAAAAAAAAACGGAAAAAATGCTATGGGCAAGCCATTTGTGAGTGTGGTATGCTTTCCAAACCGTTTGTGACAACGGAGACAATGACAACCGATGTTTAAGTGCGTGAGTGTTCAAATAAGCGTCTGTTACCCATGATCCGCAAACACGACGCCTCAGTACTGTTTTGGCAGGATTTGGCGTCGGTTCATTACTCCAAGGACACGATAGCCTGGTATGAAGCCAACAAAGTCCAATTCGTACCCAAGGAGATGAATCCACCAAACTGTCCCCAGGCCAGGCCAATCAAAACTTCTTGGGTCCTGACCAAAGCATATTTGCGGACACATGTAAAGGCAGCGGATTTCGTTACAAAGTTTGTGAAAAACTGGGAAAAAGTATCCAAAATTGTTGGACTGAAGCTACGTTTAACTGAAAGAGAATACTATAGAGAACATGAAAACGAAATAAAAATCGTATTTGCTGTAAACAAAGTTACGTTATCGTTTTTTTTTTCAAAACGTGCTTAGACATTCTGCAACACCCTATATTACTAACAACACGTTGATATTTGAACTTTTTTTTAATCTCTTACAGGTCCAAGTTGTGCTTCAAATACATAAACCAAAAGTTGTATGACTACAATGCGTGTACATTCAAATATGTAACAGAGTAGTACAAGCATATCATTTATCCCTATTAACATATTAAAAACGTGTAATGCTCAATAAATGAAAGAACTCCTAGGGCCCATTAAAATATTACGTAATGCAACAGATTGCTTTTAAATACTATCCACCCCTACATAACGTACTTTTCTTATACTTAATAGAAGGGTTGTAACACTTTGCAATACGACTTCACCAACCAGCACTTGACATACTTTCCTAAACAAATTTCGCATGCACGGCCAATGATAACGACTCAAAATTGAGTAAGAGTTACTCATATTTGAGTTCAGTTATTTATTTATTTTTTTGTTGGGGATTGAAGTAAAAACCACTCCGTGCATTATTTGAACTGTATATGGTTTATAAAACCAACTACATTTCCATGATTTGCAGACTAAATATCACTAGGTTGTAAGCCAATACTTCCAAGAAATTTGGATCTACGCTTGTGTAATGCACCACAACTGCAGAACAGATGTTCCGAGGTTTCACGTTCCAAATTACAGAAACGACAGATATTACTCTGAACCCGACCAATGTTCTTAATGTGATATCTACTAGGACAGTGCCCAGTTACTAGGCTAGTGTATATACTAAGAGCTCTTTTATTGAGCTCTAAGAGCATTTTGGTGTATGTTATATTAGGAGTTATAAATCGTTTCGACTGGTTCCAGTTTGTGCATGTGCAATTGGCCATCACCCTTTGCTCTTCCCAGCATTTGAGTTCCATTTTTACCGTACAGTATGATATTCCACAGTATGGTTCGCTTGAAACACCTTTGAAAAATGTCCCATCGCAACTGAAATATTTGTCCCGGGGTCAAAGATTCCTGCATCTGTTCGTATTCCAATTTTTGAGCCATCTGTGAAAAATATGATTGAGCCTTGACGAACGCTAGGACCACCAGTTTCCCAATCCGAACGTGCCGTTTCACATACGTTGAAGGGAATTTCATAGTTGTCCTCTGGTTTCATCCAGTCTCCATTCATACTCATTACTGGTCCTCTTTCGAAGTATTGTAAGATGCTTAGATGACCAACAAGATCAACTAGCATTACCTTTTTAGATCTTTTGAGCCTTAGAGCCCTTCTTTCCACTTCCAGTTGTACATGTTCATGCAAGGGCAGCAGATTGAGGATTGCTTCTAATGCTTTTGATGGGGTGCTACGCACCGCACTCATTATTGGAATGCATGCTAGACGTTGAAGTTTTGCTAGTTTCCTCTGTGCAGTAGCCTCTTTTAATTTTGGCCACCACACTAACGAAGCATGAGAGTTCAGGTTACTCAAATTCGCGAAATCGTATGCCACTCATAGATTGAGTAAATTTTCCGACGCTTTTCCGAGGAAAACTTCTCGAATATGAGGAACACTGATTGTGGTTTTAATCTGTCTTCTAGTACACTTCTAACCTGTGTACAATTTTCTTAATTTTTCCCATATCCTAGAAGTTTTCCCCAGGAAAGTGTCGAAAAATTTACTCAAACTATGAGTGACCTACGTTTAAGCGATTTTCAGTAATCTGAAATCAAATATGGGTAGCATTTTTTGTTCATGGGCGATTGGTTTGGAAAGTAATTTTTTTTCTAAATCAGTTGGAATAAACTCCACCGACCCACGCCGCCACCGCCGGCAGAAAATAACATATCACGCCGCCGCCGAAAATATTTTGATCTGCGCACAGGTCTCCAAAACGTGTTTCGCAGGTGGATGTGGTGAAATTCGTACATTTCCGGTTTATTGTGGAAATTCCGTATCACAAAATTGCCCACCGATTCTTTTTTTGCCGTTAGACGACGACGGGTGTGTTTTCGCGAGAGTGACGTTTATTGGATCCGTTTCTTTGCACGGATGTTTTTTTGTAACTAGCGTAAGTGTGCCTGCAATTGCCTCCTCCACGTTCCGTGATCCATCTGCACTCCACCGTAGATGGTACGCAACAGCTTTCGTTCAAAAACACCAAGGGTGAGTTGGTCCTCGACGAGCATACTCCAGCTCTTGTGGCCGTAGAGGACTCCCGGTCTAATCAATGTCTTGTAGATAGTCAATTTTGCGCGGCGGCGAATTTTATCCGACCGGAGTGTCCTCCAGAGTCCAAAGTAGGCACGATTCCCTGCCATAATGCGTCTTTGAATTTCTCTGCTGGTATCATTTTCGGCGGTAGCCAGTGAGCCCAAATACACGAACTCATCTACAGCCTCGATTTCGTCACCGTCAATCTGAACTCGGGTGGGAGGCTAACATTGTCTTCCCTAAAACCTCTTCCTTCCATGTATTTTGTCTTTGATGCGTTGATGGCAAGTCCAATCCGCCTAGCTTCAGCCTTCAGTCTGATGTACGTTTCCGCCATTGCCTCAAAGTTCACTCACTTGTCTCTATCCCAGCTCTTCTGATCACACATTCTAACGCGATGTTAAATAGCGCACACGAAAGTCCATCACCTTTCCGTAACCCCCTTCGAGATTCAAAGGGACTCGAGAGTGTCCCCGATACTCGAACAACTCACATCACTCGATCCATCGCCGCCTTGACCAATCGCTAAAATATTCCATTCCATGGATGATAATTCTCCATTCCATGGAGGAGAACGCTTGATGCGATATGGTCTGTTTTTATTCAATATGATTAGAATTCATTGTTCGGTTGAATTGTAAATTTTCTTTCAATACCTTTCATTTGACATTGGACAAACAATTATAATGAAAGATAAACAATGAGGGATTAGAAATATTGTACTCGAAAAAAATGCAACACTTTCTTCTGTGTATAACTTTTTATTGCATGAGTAAATCTTGATGAAATTTTCAGTACAACTAGTTTAGAGTGTAATGTTAATATGTGCAAAATCTCGTCACAATCTGTCAAATGGTTATCAAGATGACCACCAAGCAAGAAGTGCTTCGATAAAAAATCATGGGAGTCGTCGTGGAAGTCCAAGCTAGTCCCACAGGTGGATCGCGAAACAGTTTGGAATCGACAATTCGACCGTGTTCCGTGTGGTAAAATCGTTCAAGGAGACCCAAACGACTCAACGGCGAGCTGGCAGCGGAAGAAAAGCAAGGCAACCGACTCCGTGAACGCAATGAAGGTGAGGGATTACTTCAAGCGCAATCTGAACCTTTTGATTGGGGATGTGGCCAAGAAGGTCAATTCATCCGTCTGGTTCGTCCAGCAGACAATGAAGAGGGCCAGACTTCTGTCTTCAAAGCAAGGAAGGCGCCTAACCGAACCGATTAACAGAATACGGTGGCCGAATCCCGCGCCAGGAAGTTGTACCGCGAGTGGTTGGTGCAGCCGAAATGCATCGTAATGAACGACGCGACGTACACTAAAGCGGACGCCAATCAGATCGCCGGCCTGGAGTTTTTCGTCGGAAAATCCCGCCTGGATGTTCCGGAGAAGTTCCGGAAGAAGAAGGTCGACAAATTTGCCAAGAAGTACTTAGTGTGGTAGGCGATCTGTGGGTGCGGCAAATTGAACAAACCGTGCATAACGCCTTCAGAAGCGCCTGCTGTCCTTCTTCCGGTCCCACAAAGGTGAAACTCTGTTTTGGCTGGATCTGGCATCTTGCCATTATGCGAAACCGGTTATGGAGAGGTACGAGGCCAACGATGTTGCTTTTGTACCGAAGGAGGCAAATCCGTCAAACTCGCCAGAACTTCGCCCAATAGAAAAATTCTGGGCGATTATGAAGGGCAAGCTCCGGAAAACAGGGAACGTCTTCAAAAACGACAAGGATTTGAAAAAAAAAGAGTGGATGAAAGTGTGTTAGAAAGCTGGCGCAAGTGTTGCACAGTATTTGATGGGTAGCGTTAAGTCCAAGGTGCGGGAATTAAGCCTAGGAGAGGAGGTTGAATAAACCAACTTTGCAAAATCATAGCTAATATGTGTTTATTTATTCCTTGAGAGTTTCAAAAATATCCGACCTAAAATGAATTTTTGATGGTTATTTTTTTTTAATTACTTCACTTGTACAGGCTTAATCGAATAAACTTTACAGAGCCAAGTTATCATTTTCGTTATACATTATTAATGTCTTATATTTAGTTATAGGAACTGGAATGATCATGTTTGTCTGTTACATTTTTTTCGAGTACAGTCTTTAGATTCAATGAATCTATAATGCCTTGCTGCGTTTCAAAAATTAACGTGGCACGTATTTACCACAAATTCCACCCGACATTTTCGTGCTATAATGAATTACTGGCTCCACGAAAGGTTGTGATGATATTCATAAAAATCAAGAAAAATTGGTGTAGGTTGAATGCTGCGACCTTTCGTCAGAGAAAAATTGCGTTTTTTTTTTCTCAAGTATACGTTTATATAAGAGAAAGCCTCTTATCACAATAAGGAGGATCAATATATTTTTCTGTTATTAAGTTAACAAAAGACATTATGAGTTCATCTCAGCAGAGCGTTTACAAAAACAAACAAACGATAGTTGATTGATACAACGCAGCACCCATGTGACTCAACCAGATCGTGCCCTGTACAAACACCGGACATCGTAGCAGTGATTCTAGGCTTATCAAAAACTTCGACGACCAATGGCTTATCAATTTCGCGCCCGCGAGCTCATGGACGTTCATCATGCAAATGTGTTACAACAATCACTTGTGTTGCCCACTGGTTTGTTTCGGTATGTACTTGTGCATACGTGTACGAACCGATTCAATAACTTGCAAACACTTGTTTGATCGGCTGGATTCCGCGCATCGCTCCGACAGAGATTGATTGTGCTGCCGCAGTAATAGTAATTCTAAACACTCGAATCAAACGCAGTCCAGATACTGGGCCAATCAAACGTCAAATTCCGCGATAGCAAACTTCAGCTTTACGTCAGAACAATTAAAGGTGTACAACATCGGCAGCAGAAAAAAAAAACACTTCAGTTGCGTTCGGAATGATTGGCAATCATTATTCATGGAAATTCTAATTTTAACGAGTTGTGGCGCACAGCACTCCTGTTCAAATGGAAACGAGGAAACATTCCTGGGAAAATATCCCCCGGAGCTGCAGGTGCCTTGAATTACTTTTCTTGTTCTCGATCCTTTCGGTTTCGTCCGTTTCGAAGTGGAGAACTGCTTGGATAAGCTATTTGAAGAGTTTTGTAACTTTTCAGCAGAAAACTACCGCGCGGGTGGATCCTGCATATTAGGAGCGGTCTACCGGTGTGTTGATAAACTTAGTTGTGTTTGGATAGCGAGAAGGGTGATAAGGAATGGATGGGGGAGTACCGCTAGGTGAAACTTCATCTTTTCTCTGTTCCACGAAAGTAGCAAGAAATCCGGGAAACTTTTCCCAAAGAAATAATGAATCCTCTTCGGTTTTGTGAGGAACGCACCCCCTCAGTCCAGGGAGAGAACATGAATTTTAGCTGCATCAGCGAACAAATTAGAAAGAAAGAATACACTTTTCTCCATTGATGATGCCTTGATTCAGCAAAAGATGACTCGCGGAAGAGGTTGGAAGGGGTGGCGGAAAAGTTGAACTATCCTCTTGTCGTGAAGCAGAATTCGCGCAGTGATTATGTTCCGAGAGGTAAAGTTTACCCAGTGAATCAGCTACCCGTGCTTGTTTGTGTACGGTTTGCATAAATCCATCAAGGGGATGGAGCGAATAATTTTCTGCTAAGTCAGGCCAACAATCTAATTGAGGTTCAATAGTTGCGGTTTGCAAACGGGATTAATGTTCTTTCAACTTTGACTTGGAGGGCGGTGGCCTTGGCGTACGGCAGTGTCATACGCTTTTAAAATTACCCTACACCATATTCAGGGGGTCTTTTTTCCACAGAGGACTAAACTTGAAGCAGACAAACCAGCGGATGCTATAAAATTAGCGAAATCTCAAACATCAAATTTTCTCGCCCTTTTCTCAACGCTGAGCGTAGAGTCAACAGTGTTCGTCTTGTCGTTCCGAAAACGATGACGATGTGTCACATCTTAGGCACATCACGTATATGTATATCGGGTTTCAGGCATCTAACGACTTTGTCT